TGGGTTACATGTGTTTTTTTCTGTATGAAAAAATGCCGCTTTTTGCGGGACCGGGTGCCGGCGTAAAAATCCGCCATCTTGTTTTCGGCACTTCATGTAATTTGTGTTTCGAAATATCACGAAATACTCCAAATGTTTACTCGGTTATTTGGTATATTAGCTGCCATCTGGACTCACCTTTTGCACACTAATTATCGCTCTAAAATTAAGTTTTTTAATTAATTTTCTAGTCAACAATAAAAAAGACCTTTGACGTGACGCGTGTAGTGAGACCAAGTGGAGTTTCGATAAAACATACCAAAATATACCTTCTGATTTTAAAAATATACCGTAAAGATACCGAGAAAACAAACTACTTAACGTTTTCAAGGCCTGCATATACATCGACTGCAACATCGATAGTTTTCCAATATCGATTTCAAGTTCAGCATCGGCCGCCGCGTTTTTCCTGCAGCGAAATATTTAATTTTCGAATTTGTGCATCTTCTGTTCTCAACTAATTTATAATCCACACGTAAGTTGACTAACTTGTTTCTGCAACATGCTAATTTGGTGAAAATACAAAGTAATTACGTTGAACGGGCTGTGAAAAGTGCACGGCATTTTCACTCAAAACCGAAATGCCCCCCGCCTGCAGCAGCAGCAAAATGCCGCAAATATTGAATGAAAATCGCCATATTGCGGGAAATCTTTGAACGTGTTACGAGGCGTATTGCGGGCTTAATTAAAAAGGGATTACATGCAATTGGTAAAATTCATGTTTAACAGTCACAGCCGCGCCTATTGCCCCACGCCCATAAACAAACGCCGACAAAAACCACTCACTCCACTTTTTCTTCGTCCGCTTTAGTACAGTCGACTGAGTGAAAATGCAAGAGTGTCGGAGTGAAATAGAGATACGGAGAGAGTGTGAGAAAACTAGTTTGATTACATTTTTTTGAGTTGTTTGTCATTTCGGCGGTTCTGTTTTCTGTTTGGAATTTTTTCATATTGTTCTCTCTGCTGCTTTTTTCATTCGTTCCGCGCAAAAATTCAACGAATAGGAAATAAAACAGCTGAAAGCATACGCACGCTCACAGCATATTAAGGTCGCGTTCCGAAGAACCCAGACGAACTCACGTGTTTCTTGTGTTTCTTTCCATTTGCACAGCTCAAAAATGTCGAGCAAATCCCGACGAGCTGGCACCGCCACGCCGCAGCCCGGCAGCACCTCCACCCCACTGCCGCCAAATGTGGGACCCCAGCCTCAGCAGCAGCAGGCCGCCAGCCCTCTCAGCCCCACACGCCACTCCCGCGTGGCCGAGAAGGTGGAGCTGCAGAACCTTAACGACCGTCTGGCCACCTACATTGATCGAGTGCGCAATCTGGAGACGGAGAATACCCGCCTCAGCATCGAGGTTCAGACGAGCCGCGACACCACCACCCGGGAGACATCGAACCTCAAGAGCATGTATGAGAAGGAGTTGCTCGATATGCGCAAGATGGTGGATGAGACGGCACGCGAAAAGGCTCGCATCGAGATCGACTGTAAGCGTTTGTGGGAGGAGAACGAGAATCTCAAGGCCAGGGATGCCAAGTTCACCAAGGAGTGCAGCACGGCCGAGGGTGAGTTTGCTGCAGCAACCGCATCGATTGCATTCAATTGAATCTAAATTAATATCAACCCTCTCTTGCGTTTCCAGCCAATGCCCGCATGTACGAGTCGCGTGCCAATGAATATAACAACAAATACAACCAGGCCGTTGCCGAGCGAAAGAAGGCTCTTGATGAACTGAATCAGCTTAAAAATGATTTTGAACGTGTTCGCAAGCAGTTGGAGGAAGCGCGCAGCCACTTGGAGGCTGAGACACTGACTCGCGTCGATCTGGAGAACACCATACAGAGCCTTCGCGAGGAGCTGTCCTTCAAGGACCAGATTCATGTCCAAGAGATCAACGACTCTCGTCGCATACGCCAGACGGAGTACAGCGAGATCGACGGCCGACTCTCGTCCGAGTACGATGCCAAGCTTAAGCAATCGCTACAGGATCTGCGTGCACAGTACGAGGAACAGATGCGCATTAATCGCTATGACATCGAGACCTTGTACGAGGACAAGATCCGCCGCTTGAATGAGACCGCTCTTCGCACCAACAGCTCGACGCACAAGTCCCTCGAGGAGCAGCGCTCTACTCGTGTGCGCATTGACTCGCTCAATGCAAAGATCAACGATTTGGAGCAGACCAATGCCGCGCTGAACAGTCGCGTACGCGAGCTGGAGCAACAGCTGGACAACGATCGCGATCGTCACTGCCAGGAGGTGGCACTGCTCGAGAAGGAGCTCATCCGTTTGCGCGACGAGATATCCCAGCAGCTGCAGGAGTACCAGGACCTTATGGACATCAAGGTTTCGCTAGATTTGGAAATAGCCGCCTACGACAAGCTGCTCATGGGCGAGGAGCATCGCCTGAACATCACCCCATCCAATACGGCCACCGTTCAGTCCTTCAGTCAATCGTTGCGCAGCAGCACCCGTGCCACTCCCTCGCGCCGCACACCATCCGGTGCGCTGAAGCGTAAGCGTACTATTGTGGACGAGACGGAGGATCGCAGCGTCTCCGACTTCTATGTGTCGGCCAGTGCCAAGGGCAATATTGAGATTAAGGAAATCGATCCGGAGGGAAAATTCGTCAAGCTATTCAACAAGGGCAACGAGGAGGTGGCCATTGGCGGCTGGCAGCTCCAGCGCATGGTCAACGAGAGCGGGCCATCGACCACGTACAAGTTCCATCGATCCGTGAAGATCGATGCTAATGCGTTTGTTACCGTTTGGTCGGCGGACACCAAAGCCTCGCACGAGCCGCCCTCTAATATTGTGATGAAGCAACAAAAGTGGATAGCCGGCGACAATACCAAGACGATTCTGCTGAATAATGACGGTGAAACTGTAGCCAATTTGGATCGCATCAAGCGCATTGTCTCCACCCATGTCTCATCGTCCCGACTGAGTCGCCGTCGTAGTATCACCGCTGTCGATGGCAACGAGCAGCTCTACCATCAGCAGGGTGATCCCCATCAGTCAGCAGAGAAGTGCGCCATTATGTAATCCATTGCGAGCGCGCAAAGCAGACAGACAGACACACACAGCAGTAGCACTCAAAACACACACAGAGACAGATTTGTAGTAATACTAAGTTATTTTTTTGTGGCCCTTTTCGCCGATAATTTAATCAAGAAACATTTGTGTTGATCTGCTGTAATACTTCGTCTTCAGAAAACCATCCCCCCCACCCAATCCAACCCATGTTTTCCGTTTCCATTATATGTGCTTCCCTTTTATAACTTTCCGCTCTTAATTCACCTTTTTTAAGTTTCAAAGTTCTACGTTTTGTGTGTTCCCCCCACCGTTTAAAGACATTCATAAACTTTATTTTTTGTAAGCTTTATTTGGTATATATTTTAATCGGTTAATACTGATCGTGTATGCCATATAGAACATACATATAATCAACACACACCTAACCCCACACACTTTTTGTATTTGTGCCATGAAGTACATTGAAGATATTGGTAGATACCAATATGTTTGATGGACTTCTTGGGTGCAGTCCTCTTTCTCCATAAGCAATTAAAATATATATTTAAGAAAACAACAACAACAACGAGCAAAACAATTAACAAGAAACAAAATAGAAGCTCCTGACAACAAAAATATTTATTTAAGTATTTTTTGTACAATCCGCATAAAATACAAACAATATTACTTTATATACTAAAATAACAGATAATACATACGAAATCAGACAAGAAGCCCGGAAATATATATATATTTTTAAAGATTGGGATCCGCCTACATCCAGGCCCAGAAAGACACTCGACGCTTGTGCTTCCTGCAACCGCTTCTAGAACAAAAATTACTAAACAGTAAAATACAATAACGAAAAGCAACAACAACAAACAAAAAGTACAATAAGAACGAAAAAAAATAAAATCGTACAGCTCAGCGATGCGTCGCATTAAGTAGGGATGTGGCGTGGCCGCTCCCAAAAATTCATCAACGCTCCCACACAACAAACTATTTTAAAAGAAAAGATGAGAAAAAATGTGCAGAACGAAACGTAATCTATAAGTACATTTATGTTTATGTATGTATGTAATTTTCTATTTGATAAAACAACAAAAATAAAGAAAACCCATGTTTAATGAACAAAATGTATGCCTTGTATTTGGTATTCTATAGAAGGACGTCCCATTAACGAGTCAAACTGTAACCAGTTTGACCAAAAACTAGCTTGAGTGAAGACTCGAGCATATCTGGCCGAAAGTGAACAAAAAATATTCCACTGATATAACCAATATGCCTTATAAACGTTCATGTCTGTAGGGTGTGCATTTCACTCTCCCATTGGCCCTTTTTCGTCTTTTCTTTAGCATGTTCCTTCGCCGCAAAGAGCTATTTTTGGATTTTAAATTCGTATGTGTATGTGTATATGCTGGCGGGCGATGTTGTAACCAAGTCTCACTCAAAAATAGGTATAATTGAGTGACTTATCGATAGATCAAAGTGCTTAATGCGATGCCATTGGGCATAGATGTAAATAAACCATATAAATTTTGACTAGCTTATATAGATAAATAATTGTCTATAAATTGAATAGCAAACCACACTTGACGACCCTAAAAACGCTCGATTGCCGGCAAAAAAGCATTCAACATTTTCAGAAGAGGGAGGAAGGAAGATAATTTCGGTATATTTCTGACAGTCATGCGGTATATATTATCGATAAGTCCGCGGCCACACTGGTAAGTTCATTCAACTGCATTGGTTCTGATGGGGCGGGGAAATGAAGTGACGTTTCAATGATAACCTGCGATAACAGAAAGTATCTCAAGGTTAGCTTGCTGCAAGTTCTTTTGTTTTCATTGCAATTATGCCTGTACTTGCCTTTATCGGACAAGCCAGAGAGCGCCGGAGTAGCAACCGCAAACGCAAGCTAATCGCCGCTCAAACGCAATGCATAAATTGGCAGCCAAATTGAAACAGCAGGCAACAGTCTCGTTTGGACTCGCTCGCCCCAAGTACGACGACGCGCCTGACATCGTCAAGTGCCCGCAGAAATATTGTATATATATATAGCTACGCCTCTATTTGAGTAATAAATAAGCAGCTGTTTGCATTAACGAGCGTTTTGGAGGTGAGTGAGCTGAGCAGTGTCCGTGAAACTCAAGTGTAGTTGGCTGCCATTTTTCGAGTAAGAATGAAAGTGTTTAATGTGTGCGGCCAGCTACATAAATAGGTTAATTACCAATAATCGGACTGGCTTATCACTTTCATTGAACAACAGGAGAAAAATGTTGGCAATCTTCATAACCGCCTGGACTCTCTCTCTCTCTCTCTCTCTCTATCTTAATCTCGGCGATAAGTGATTGTTTTCAGCCCCGTTCATAGATTGTTTTCGGATTTGTTTTCGTTTCATTCCATTCAGTTTGCTCCTCCCGGCAGTACACTTTCTTTCAACCTTAAAACTCGTCTGAATATTCTATTCAAAATTATTTTAGCTAAAAAATGAGATTGGTTATATTGGAAACGAGCCAATCGGTTGGCAAGTGGGCAGCCAAGTATGTGATGAAGCGCATCAATGACTTCCAGCCGGGTCCCAACAGGTAAGCGATGCCCACATTCCACATGAAATGACAGCTAACGATAGGAATTTCTGTTTTGTAGATACTTTGTGCTTGGTCTGCCCACTGGATCCACTCCGCTGGGCATGTACAAGGAGCTCATCGAGTTCCACAAGCAGGGAAAGGTCTCCTTTAAGTATGTGAAGACCTTCAATATGGACGAGTATGTGGGTGAGTCCTTGGCAGCTGCGAATATGTACGAAAATGAACATTCTAAATACGATATCCATTCACAGGTCTACCCAGAGATCACCAGGAGAGCTATCACTTCTTTATGTGGCACAACTTCTTCAAGCACATCGACATCGAGCCACAAAATGTTCACATATTGAATGGTAATGCCCCAGATCTGGTGGCCGAGTGCGACAAGTTCGAGGAGCAGATCAGGGAAGCCGGCGGCGTGGAGCTGTTTATTGGCGGCATTGGTCCCGATGGTCATATCGCCTTCAATGAGCCCGGATCGTCGCTGGTCTCCCGGACGCGTGTGAAGACCTTGGCGCAGGATACGCTGGAGGCGAATGCCCGCTTCTTCGACAATGACATGAGCAAGGTACCCAAGCAGGCACTCACCGTTGGCGTTGGCACTGTGATGGACTCCAAGGAGGTGATGATTCTCATAACGGGCGCCCACAAGGCCTTTGCTCTTTACAAGGCCATCGAGGAGGGCGTCAACCATATGTGGACGGTCAGCGCCTTCCAGCAGCATGCCAACACTCTGATGATCTGCGACGAGGATGCCACGCTGGAGCTGCGTGTTAAGACTGTCAAGTACTTCAAGGTATGCCCGCCCTCGACCCCATCCTCTGTAGAAACTTGGGCTTAGTTTGGTATGTGGGAAGACGATAAAGGTGCTGGGATTGTTAACCCAATTAGAGGCGCTTGCACTAGTTAACTTTTAAGGGCTTTAATGGTTGCAGTTTCACGAGTATACGACCTGATTAAATTAAAGTAAACAGAACTTTGTTAATGCCTGTCTGGCATTCAATTTGACAATTTCACAGGGCATTCTGCGCGATATAGACGAAGGCGCCGCTCTGCAGGATGCTTACAAAAATTGAGATATGAGTAAGGTATCACCTACCCCTGACTAGCACTTAGATTCCACACTTTATATGTATATATTCCATTTCAATTGAGTATATTAAATTAATGTAATGCTTGCAAACAAATTCTAGATGATTAAGATAAATGAAATTTAAGACTGCTACTAGTCTAGACAGTTCAAAAACGCCAAAGATATGGAAAATCGAGACCAAATACTTACAATTATTGTCTACATGATGTACGAAAGGTGCCAAAAATTAATGAATATAAAAACTATTCGGAAATCGGAAGGAAACCCTGGAACCTAGCTGAAATTTCAAATGTTTTTTTCAACATTCAAAATATTGCAGAAATTTAAAACAAATAAACAAACTTAATAAATGTTTGGCTCTTGTACTTATGTTATAATAAACTATAAATTATAGGGCCAAAAATGTAGAAAGCATTTTAGAAATGTTTGTTTAAAATACACAAAATAAAAAATGAATTAGATATATATAGGGATACCTTTCCAAACTAAGTACAAATTCTCATATAAATTTCTCACACAAATTCGAAAACTATTTCCATTAATTTAACATATTTTCAGAGCCTAATGGACGTGCATTCCAAGTTAATAGAGCAACAGATGACGACGTAACAAATCCTTTCAAGAAAGAACCTTATGTGGATAGCATCTCCAACAGAGATCACATTTTTTTTATCAACCCGCTTAGAAATTTAGTATTAAAGTCAAATTTTTAAAACAATTTCCCTGCCGTGTAAATCTTACAAACATTTTCATTTTTATATGTGTTTTAATTGTTTATACAATTTTTGTAACGAATCTTGAAATATAAATATAAAGTTTATACAAAAAGTGAGATCCTAGAAGAAAAGTGCCTGGCTATGCCAATTACTCGTCCAAGCTCAATGCCCGCCCAGTATCTGTTTGTCGGTGTAGACAAACTCCTCGTGATCCTCGATGAGGCGAAACAGTTCCTTGGCATAGAAAATCGAGCGTACCGACTCCTCCAGTATGAGCTGATGGTTCTGGACAGCACGGCGCACCTGCTCGTGTATGAACATTTCCTCCAAGCGCTTGGCCCGCTGCGTGAGCCGACAGGCCTCGTTGTTTCTCAGCCTCACTTGTCCGGCTGTCAGACGGCACTCCACTGCGGGCTGATGGCGGGCCGCATTGTTGTGGTAGCTGCAGATATCACTGATGACGCTGGCATTCACATTGAAGATGCCCTCAGCGGCACTGATCACGGTCTTGCACACGGCCGGCGAGCAAATCATCTCCCGCTTTAGATTCTCGCAGATCAGCTGCTGGAGCACAGTCTGGCGGGCGGGTCTCAGGAAGCCACGTCGAATGTACCGCCGTCCGATCTTCTCGCGCATTGGACGAAAGTTGAAGACCTGCGTGCCCCAGACCTTGCCGCGTACCGGCTTCTTGGTTTTTCGGCCACATCTGGATTCGCGGAACAGTTGACGCTTCACCCGCTTCAGGCTCTCGATCTTCTTTGTGATGCGCTCGGGCTGCAGGCAACTATCCACCTGATGCCACAGCTCGGAAGGTGTGGCCAGCGAGGTACTCGAATTGGCCCAGTACAACTTGTGGACCAGACCGTTCATCAAATACAGCTGCCGTATGCACTCGTTGAGGAAACTTCTCTTGGTGGGGCTCTGGAAGTTGGGCGGATTGTTCAGGATATAGTGATCCCGCTTGTAAACGACACAATAGCCATAGCCAGGCTCTCCACGCAGTGCTCCTGGACGCTGGTACACAATCAACTGCTGGTCCTTATAGTCAATCGGCGAGTTGAATATGAAGATCTGATTGTGTGCCTCGTTGGGCGTGCGGTACATCAGCAACTGCTTGGTCTGTACTTTGTCCATGGCTGATAAGAGTCGATAAGCGAGTGATGTGGCTGTGGTCACGCGCTGGTGCTTAAATATCGCTGGCCAGGACTGTGGCAGGTAGCAGGATACAAGAATACTCTAATGACCTGACCAACCTTTCAATCCTGTCAGTTCGTGTTACGACATTCAGGTCAGCTCTTTTGGGTTTATCCTCTTATCCGTAAGTTTAGGCTTTTACCTGATGCTTGCAGCTGTTCTTGGGATGCACAGATATCGGGAGGATTGTATTGTCAGCCAATTTGCATTAGTTTGAGGATGTTGATAAATATTTAAGGTATTAGTTTGAGAGTTTAAAAGTTATTCTACGAGCCACTCCTAGCATTTCGTCATACAAACATCGAGCAACCCAAGCTTATGTCTTGTTTTTCAGTCCGTTGATCCGAAGTTCAACTTTAATCAACTTTAATCCGAAGTTCAACTTTAATCAAAGTGTGCAAGGAGTTTTGTTTCAGCAAAACTCACTTTATACACTTCAAGAGTATATTCCTTAACTCCGAAACATTCTTAGTTGTGTCTGAGTCTATAAGAATTTCAAAGGACAAGACACCAGACTGCCAGGTCAAAGCTACACGAAGTAAAATTCCAACTGCAATTACGGGCCCAGGTAGATCGTCCTAACTTTTGGGTAAGTTTATAAAAGAGGTTGGATAGGCACGGGCTTATGTAACGGCATTTAGTCAACGATAGGTAATCCGTGCCAGGTGTTACCCAGGCAGGACATGAAAGAAAGCGAACCCATCGAGTGGTATAAACAGGTAAAGCTCCTCGCGTGATCTAGGTACAGCATACAGGTAGTACACAACACTTATGCTTTTCACACATAAAACGGAGTGGACAACAGTTGCAGCTGACACAAGCAACTGAACCAGCGAATCAGCCACAACATGGGCAACGTTATGGACCGCAAGGTATCACCCACGCCTACGCCGACTCCCATCGATGCCAAGCCAAGGGAACCAGAAAAAGTGGAAGAGAAAAAGGATGCACCCAAGCTCGACACAAATCTTGCGCTGCAATTGTTCTGCTATCGCCAGCAGTTGTCGGGCAAGAATCATCATATGATGAAGTGGGCCACATCCAAGCTGCTGCTCACCGAGAAGCTGCTCAAGCTGCAGCAGACATATCGTCCCTTGGCTCCCCGTTTTCCCTGGGATAATTATGAGGCAACGATGCTAACGCAGGATGTCGATGTAGATGTAGATGGCGATGAGGAGAATAGAGCTCCCAACAATGATGACCTGTCCCGAGAGCTGACCACTCTCAAGAACTATCGCATGGAATTACGCGAAATTATTATTAAGGTGGCACAGAAAAAGAAGACAAAGAATTCACAGAAGAAATTGAAGCGTTTAACTCGTCGCACATTGATCTCCTCGAAGAAGCCCAGCAACAAGGCACATCGCAAGCCGCAGTACAACGAATGGCTGCTGGGTGAAGATGAGCCAGAATGTCCCCTTCAAGCAGACTCTCTACAGCCATCCGCGCAGGTGGATTCAGATCAGAGTTACGTGCACCCTGACGTTATCACCATAGACTGATCCCCCACACGGATCGAACTGAACATAGACCCTAGTTTTAGTTTAATTAGCTAATTTAGTCGTTACACTAATTCTAGTTGTACATAAAAACTGTTTTTATTTCCATTAAATTAAAACCCAACTATGCAATCGCATTCCATTTGACATACTGACTGGCCAACCGAGCCTGAGGCACTCTGGCCCAAATCAAAGTTCAATGCGCCGCTGGCGTCCCTTTTATCGCTTGTTTGTTGTTCCTGGATTCCTGGCTGCCCATTGAACCCTTAATACATACATAATTAAACTGACTCGACTGCGAAAGCCAGTAAATGATTGCGTCAACTGCCGCTTTGGTGTACTGGTTCCCGTTTGCTGCTCCTGATCCTGCTCTCGATTTACTATGCTCGGCCTTTGGGGTGATTCTTTTTTTAATTTACTTGATTTTAAATAGTTAAGGGAGACTCAAGCTGTAGCCTATATTCAAGTAAGGTTCCCAATTCCCCAAGTCTTCTCTCTGTGTAAATCACTCAAAACCAGTTGATAATTTTATAACTTCTAAGTCTTCGCTGACAAGCGAAATGTAACCCAAAAATGCACACATACATATTTCATAATATTATATCCCCTAAATCTCCACTGTCTGTGATAAACTGACACAACCCATTTCAGCACTTTCCTAATCTAATCTGTTGACTAATTAAATTTTGGAAAAAAATAACGCTCCCAAGTGCAGGGAGGGAAACGCGTCGTCGCAGCTCAACCCAAATAAATGATTGTGGGTCATGCAACTGCGCTGGTTGGTAATTACCAACTGAAGTTGGAGGGATATTTATGTTGCCCCAAGGGGCAGCAGCTACACTTTGAACTTGTCCCAGAAACGTGCCAAAAAGTTGCACCATTTGGAGCAATTAAAAAGTGCTAAACGAACAACTTGCAATTATCGCACATAAACATGGTGTAATATTTAATAAAATAATTATTTATGTGCCTAGGCCAGGTCAGCCTGCATGCGGAGTTGGAGTTGGAGAGGCACACGCACTCCGCATACGCAGACATCTGTAGATGCGACGCCATTCCCATCCTGACACAAATTCCCTTTCAACTTACACAACAAGCACTCCTCCATCGGGTCCAAATGGCATCCAAATGGGGGCACCCGCTGCAATTTGGAATTCCTTGCAGCGCATCAAAGCGCAAAACCAAATTGTGACATGTCCTGGCAGCAATACTCCCACTCCTACTTCCACAAACAATGCCTTGCCCCATCGGGTTGGGGTAACAAAAGAAGTGGCACATGCCACACGATGGCCCTTTTGGGGTGCCAGGAACCACCCTCATAGACCAGGTCCTCTGCTCTTGCCACTTCCACGCATGTGTAGCGGGGTGTTAATTGCCGACTAAGCGGAAGCTCCTAAGAATTTCTTTTTTAATTAAATTGTTTTCATCTAAATGTAGAAAAATATTTTATTAATTGCAAACATTTTTAGCAGCGCCTTCTAGGAATTGCCATCTCTCGCTTTAGCTTTCGAGAGTGGGTTGAGGGTTGTGCAACCCTTAAGGCATATTTTCTACGCTTTCTATACCATCTTAAGGCAATTTGTTAATGGTCGATGGTGTGACTAATTCAAGAGTTTGAATTTCAAAGGAAAGCAAGTCATAAATTATTTATAAAAAAAAAGAAAAAGAACTCTGAGCAACCACCAAAACATGTGATGGTGGGAAATTTAGATGATGATGCTACCACAACGTTCTTGCAAGTTTAGGAATGTTCAATTGAAGCTTAAGCACAGCATAAATATGCTTTATTCATAGTCTTACTAAAATAAAATTATATTGCTTGATTTTCTATTAAACATGAAAAACAATACATATTTTTAATTCAATTTTAAATCCCTGTATTCTGAAGTATAAATGCTCCTGAAACGTCAAACTGTTGTCGTACATTTTCCAAACCCAGTAGGCCATTCCATCAGATTGTTTGCATCTCAAACGTAGCTCCATCGGTTCATGTGGAAATATTTCATTCAGTTTCCGAGTCTCGCCAAATTCACACGTTCTGTTTTCGCTCTGTAAATACAAAAACAAAAAATAAAATTAACAAAAAAATTTGTATACTCAGTCTGAGTATTTCTGTGAGATATTTGTCATCTTTCGTTCTGTTTGGAAATCGGAAAATAAATCGCAGAAGACTGAAGGGAGTCAACCCACAACTTTGAAAAATAAGAGACCGACACAGCAACTAAAATTCAATTGTACAGGAAAATGGAAACCGTCAAACAAACCGCCAAGATGAATGAGAAAATATTGTGCCACAAGTGCCGCGGTGCCATTAACAAGCGGATGATCACTGCTTTGGGCAGGACCTGGCATCCGGAACACTTCAATTGCCGCCACTGCGATACGCCGATTGACGACGCCGCCTTCAACATCCAGGAGGGAGAGCCCGTCTGCTCCGAGTGCTTCAAGAGGCTGTACACCCACAACTGTGCCGGCTGCAAGCAGCCGATCTTGGAGCGCACAGTCGTGGCCATGGGCGAGAACTGGCATGAGGAATGCTTCTGCTGTGATGGGGCCTGCAAGAAGCCGCTGGCCAGCCAGCCTTTCTTCGAGCGGGAAGGAAAACCCTACTGCAAGCAGGACTTCGAGACCCTCTTCGCCACCAAGTGTGCCAGGTGCGAGAAGCCCATCACCGATAAGGCCGTCGTCGCCATGGACAACAAGTGGCACCGCGACTGCTTCCGCTGCACTCGCTGCAGCAATCCCATTACCACGACGAGCTTCACCATCATAGCGGACAAGCCGATCTGTCCCGGCTGCCTGTAATGAGCATTGAATTGATCAACCAAGGATGCATCCACATTGCGCACACACCTCACATAAGCGGATTGAAATTGCTGCACACGCTCAACAATAACAATAGCAATGCATTTATAGTTTAATGTTCGTTTCAGAGTTGAACAATTTGAAATTATAAATGCTTGCATCTTCACACTCATTGAAGGCTGCTGCTGGCAAAATACAAACAAACATTTTTGCTGCCAACCCTTGACATTAATCACAATAAAATCACACTACACTAAAACATAAGACACAACAAATAAACAAGAAAAATATATATCAAATGCAGTTTTTCTATACATATATTGTAATTTGGCAGTTGAGAGTACTTGCAGACATTAATATTAACTGTGAGGCGTAGGCAATACATTTAATAGATAGTTCTTAGTGATTCTGTAAATTGAACTTAATTTCCAGGCACACCTTGTTAGCATACGAAGAGCTGCAAATCTCTAATAGCCAATTCGAAAGAGGTTAAATAAATGGGTTTCTCTCTTGCGTGGGTTGTATTATACAATTAAATTAATTAACTTTATTATGACAATAAACACATTTCAAGGTCAAAGATTTTGGTATGTAATTAATCAGATTAAAGCGTATTTAAATATGCAAAACAAAAACCATTGCATACTTCAAAGAGGTAGAAGAATGTTCTAAGCAAAATCATTCGTTGACTTTAACCAAGAACAAGCGAAGTGAAAGAATATTCCTTTAAATATAAATATGTAGAAAAATCTAAGCATGTTTACTGCTCAGTGCTATGGCCAATCTATGATCCAAGCAAACAATATTATCTTAATTACAATTCAGCCACTGAGAACAATCTTGGAGGCTGGCAATGGCAGGCAAACACAAAATATTTGCTCTCGACCAACAGTTTCCCACAAAAATGCATGGCGATAAGGAACCCTTTCCCAATTGTGAGCAAATATTTGCAGAAGCTCCGCTCGAAGAAGCTGCTGCACTCGCACGTCAAGGAAAGTGCTTGACACGAGATCATATTTCCAAAGGTAGCTCTCTCCCATACACACCCTGAAATGGGGCGAATCCAAATGAAATCATCGCGAGGGCAACTGCAGCACACATGATTATCTCATGTTCATGTTCGCTATCATTCGGCAGGGTAGGAGGATGAGCATGCGGATGATTAGAGCTAAATAGCAGAGGCAACAACAGTGCCGAGGAAATGTAAATGGGAAAAAGGGTGTTTTCACGACTCAGGGTTCGTCGTGAAGAGCCAACTTCGGCTGAAAACCCGATGCGCTGTCGTCGGCATCGTCGTTGCAACAGCAACAGCGGTTGCCGTCTGATTTCTGTCGCTTTTTGCGGCTTTGGAGTCGTCTGGTTGCCGGTTTCGGTTTCATTGGTCCGGCAAAGCGCGTGCGAAGCGGTTCTGTGGCTCAGCGGTTAAACGGTTTCTTCTAGTGCCACTAACTAAACACTAACGCGTTAGACTTTCGGCAGGAAAAGCTGGCCAAACGCGAAAAGGTGGCTAATTAATCGCCTTGTTAAACTGCCCAATAAATAATTGTCATTTCGTGCCATGGGGGAAACTGTCAAGCCAAGACAGCGATTAAGGAGTCTGTGCAAAATCTGTATTTTTTTGGGGCTTGCTGCAGCTGCAAGGCATCCATAAATTGAAAATTAAGATCGTGTTTTCGTGTGTTGCCAAAGTTGCCTGAGTTACTAATTTGGATTTTTGTGTTCCATGGACTGATATCTCAATAAAAAGCTGTGAACATTTTCAAGTGGATAATGAGATTTAGATGTCGATTTTTTTGCAATTTGTAGAAAACATATGATCGAATTTATTTAAATTCAAGTATATTCCGAGTATGCCAAGCGTTACTAAGTATGGGGTTTCTTCACCGAATCTGCAATTATTTCAATCCTGCGCCAGAACCGAAATAATTATGGGAATAATAAAACAGACCTGGGACTATTTCCGACCGGTATCATCAGCACGTTCGGAGTTTCTTGATTGGCAACATGTTCTTGAATGCCACTGTTCACTATTGGGACCTTTGTAATGCTCTGCATTCTTCTGAAAGTCCATGTTTAAGGAAAAAATGGTTTAGAATTTATTTAAATTTAAGAATCATATTTCACGTCTTATACATTTTATACAGTTTAAACACGTCTCAAAAGTGATTTCGGTTCGTGATCGCATTTGTGCATGAGCTCATAATTCGTACCTTCAATGTGATTTATTACACTTCTTTGGATCTATATTTTAAATCCCATTCTTAACCAGAAGAGCTAAGGCTGTATGGTTTTTCGTGTAGGTTCGCATTTAATGTCTACCATAAATTAGAGAGGTAATCCAAGAAATTAATTATATGCTTAGCAAGCATTACCGGACGTTTAATAGAGTTTTACTCCGCACATTTAGAAATTTACTACACCGTAAAAATGACGTTAAAACACACAAATTTTGGTTCATAAAAATAATTGTGCAATTCATCAATGGAATAATACCAAAGTTGATGATTTATAGACCTGTCAGTAAACTCGCGAAAAGCTGATTAAAATGTGCATATTTCTTAGACAACACACACGCATTCAATCATAATAACATATAATTCAAAAAATGATTTTAACCACACGTTAGTGACAGAAGATTAATTGTAAACGTATGCAAATTTTAATCAATTTAAATACTATGCATATGCCCACACAAATTACTTCAAAAGTGCTCGGTTCTGGAAACTCAAACAATAAGATCAATTACGAGTAGAATGTGTTTGCTGATACAGTTTGTGTTGGATTCTATAAATGGATGATGTTGGGCAAACATCACGCATACGCCACCTGAACAGAAAGCTGACATTCCTGAACCCTTTTTCGTGGAAGCGAAACGTGAAGCAACCAACAAGAATTCTAAGCTCGCACAAAGGCCAAGCCATATTGTGGATGCTACATTCGAATTCTTCTTATACCCGGGGTATGCTTTGGGTGCAAGGGTATGTTGGATTTTCTTAGCAGAAGAAGATTTTTCCAGCATCAGAAAGAGCCAGATATGCCTCTATATCCATTTGGCATTGTTGAACTAGTTCCATGACATTCCATAATTTCCCTATTTATTATAATACAGGAAAAATATTCGATAGATTTTCTCCACATATCTACCAAACATTAAATATGAATATTCTCTATAAATTCAACACAAATTCTTTAACAATAACTTTACAGATATGTGCGTCTGAATCCAATTTGCAACAAAGAAAATGTATTGTGTATCTATGATCTTTGATCGGTTGATCTTAAATCAATCAAAATGATCTCTGAAAGTATTCCAGAACTGTCTCCAAACGAAACTGTTTCCATGCTGATCATTCCTTATTTTTACTCAAATTAATTTAATTACAATGCAATCAATGAGTATCCTATAGTCGCAATATCGACCATAGCCAAGGACAGAAACGACAATGAAGCGACACCAGCGGGGCAGGGCAATCAGAGGCAGACACAGTCAGGGGCACACAGCGAAGAACCTCAACAGTCGTACTTTGACTTTTGCGTATGCCGGTCGACGCGTCGTCGGTCGTTGGTCGTCTGTCGTCGGTTGTTGGTTTTGGTCGTGAATCGTTAGTCGGATGGTTACCGCCAGTTCTGAATACATTTTTATGGTCATTTGCCTTTTTCGGCGCAACAGGATGGCACGGGACGCACCTTAAAAAATGAGCCAAAGTATTCGATGCGGTTTGGCTTAGTCTTTCTAACCTTTAATTGGAAAAATCCCAGGCATAACTGCGGCCTGACATGGGAGTCTAAAATTGGCAACTCTCTATGGGAGTCCGTGGAGTATGTGAAGTGAGTGGCCTGAAGTGGAGTGGAGTGGAGTGTGGAGTGTGTGTGCAATGCTTAAAGCCTCTTTGTGTCAGTCTGCTGTCATTAGCATCCACAGACTGCGCTCCGAGTGTGTCAAAAGATTTGAACTTTAAAGTGCTCAGGTGCTGGAAGTGCTTAGAAAGTCTGACTGGCAGACAGACAGACAGACGTATAGACACTCTGGCAGTAAGTCTGTCAGTTGGTCTGTGGGTCTTTCTGCGTGTATGAATTGCTTATCATGTTGTTTGACTTTGAGCCTCTTTTGAATTATGCGTGCTATCTGCCATTGCCATTCCCCCCACCGAGTCTGCCACAGCGCGTAATTCATGCCACAATTGTCTCTCTTTTGGGTTCTTTTTATCACACCTGCTGTGAATCGCTGGATACCACCCAAACACACATACTACAGGCATGAATCGTGGAGTTCATAGTGTAGAGTGAAGAGGAGTAGTGCGACGAGTACACCGTACACCGTACTTCCATTTCCACTTTGCGAGCGTACATTTGTTTTGCTCTTTTCATGGCACGTCCTCCTCGAGTGTTTGCCTTGGTACTTGCATAGAATTCGTTAGTTATGGTTTACCTCATGGCTCTGTGCCGTTTTTTTGGTCTTTTTTACAAAGCATTCGGTTCAAGTAGCAAATTGACTGGCGCATGCCCTGCTCTCAGACAATGTTTTCTTGCTAAAGAGCATTCAGAGACACACTTGAAGTACCAAAATTCTCCCAAATAATAATTAAACAGAATTCCACCATTTAAAAACCAATTGAGCCGCCTCGAAATCGAGTCGCTGTGAAATGAATTGGCAAAAAAAGAATAACAATAAGAACACAAACAACGAAACTTGTGGGTGGGTGCTCGAGCTTGACCTTAGCACACCCATAAGAAGCAAACGAAAAATGTGCAAAATAATTCGTAAATAAAAGCAAAGAGAATATAAAGCGCATAAAGCATTTAATCTTTTCACCTGGCGCCGGCCAAAAATAGAAACCGAATACCATTTAATAACAATATCAATGATATTGTAATCCCAAACACAGAAATCAAATTCAAAGCTCATTTTTAATTGCAATAATCAGGAATTCATAGACCCCGCGGCTCTGTAGAATTTCCTATGGCATTAAGTGTTATGATAAATTGATAAACTTCCAAAAAGGTTGGGGGGGTACGAAAAATGGCAGCGTGGGCGCCGCTATCAATAAAAAAATTTTTATAAATAATAGAGCAACCCGAAAAAAAGAACAACTTTGATGTTCTTTCTGTTGGTGTTGTACTACGAGTGTCTTCCACACCACACACTTATGGTTCATGTCTTTCTTTTTCTGTTCTATCTTTTTCATATTTTCCTGTTCTGTTTTGC